CTTGGTTTGATAAGTAAAACCTTGTAATCAAATCGCCGTAAAATAACTAAATCAACCAAACGTTTCACACGCGACAATGGTACATAAACTGCAGCAATATCATCAGTTTCATTTGGCAGCTTCAGATCAATAACCACGTTATTTAAAGTTTGGCCTTGACTTTTATGTGTTGTAATGCAATAGGCAGGTACCAGCGGTAGTGCACGTCGTTTAATTGATAAAATTGCCTTTTTATTTGATTTTAACTTTTTATCTTTTGGAAGAATATCGGCAATGTCGACACGAAATGTTTGTTCCACTAACGGTATTGGAATAAGCTTTGGTGAAAGTTCTTCAAAATTGCTTTCAATCTTCGATTTAGCAATTTCTATTAATGCATATATTGGTTGACGAATATATTGTGTGTTGTTCGGAAATATTTCTGACAAAACATCTGTTGACGCTGAATCTTTATGGTAAACTAATTGCCGAAAGATTCCATTAATACCGTTGATAAGACCCAGTTCAGTAGCAATATTTTGTGTTAAGATAACAGGCATTCCAGGAACAAAAGGTAATAAACCAGGTAAATGCTCTGTTTTACTATCAGATAATTCTATTAATTTTTTTAAGAGTATAGGATCTTCAATTTGTTTGCCTTTACAAGAATCTTGAGCCACACATACCATCGGTGTACAGTTCAGTTGTGCCGCATTGTAAACGGCTGCCTTGTTGTTTAATTGTGTTCGAACTTCATTTCGGAACACGAGAATAGGAGCCTAAAAAAAATGAAAATAAGAATTTTTCTTAAAAAGAAGGAGAGCTTACTTGATTCCATGGTGAATCATGAAGAGAACCTACTGATGGTTGTCCAACTACTCGTGTCAGTAATAATTCATAATCATCGTAATTACATTGTCCATGACGAAATCGTTCGAGGAGCTGAAGATATCGTAAATCTTCCGTTCGCATCTGTTGAGTAAGTTTTACCACACAGTTGATTTGAAGAATTAAAGAACGTGCAACGCGTTGTTGAATTTCTTTTTCAGTTGGCATTTTGACTGATTTCTTTTTTGATGGTAATGAAAAATCGGTGTGCAATGGTGCATCATAGACAGGTCGATACTGTAGGTAATCACCAAAGAAGATAACGTTTACCCCACCAAATGGAACTTGAGGATCGGCATGTTTTGCAGCACAAATAATTCGGTTAAGTTTGGCTAATAGAGTTAAACCAACCATACTCATCTCATCAATTAAGAGATATTCGATGAGTCTCCATTCTTTTTCAAGCTTTGAATCACCTGGTTTAATAGTTCGGGACTTTCCAGAATTACGTTGTTCACCCAAGAATGAATGAATTGTCATCCCATCAATTTCAGCAGCAGCAATTCCAGTGGGAGCAAGCTTCCGCATCATTTGCATTCGTTTTGTAATAAGGAAATATTTGGTGAGAGCACGAATCAGTTGTGATTTGCCTGTTCCACCGCATCCAGGTATGCACATTATGAGCTGTCCATTATTGTCACCTAAAAATATTGTTTATTTCGATGAATAATGGTTTATTTTATGAAAATACCTGTGCGACATCGAGTGTCACCATCAAGATGACTGGTTATTATCATGAATGCAGCTCGTTGTTCTTTATTCAATGTAAATTCATCAATGATACTTTTTTGAGTAGGAAAGCTGGCTGTAACTGAGATAACTGGAAGAATTGAGCCAAATATTTCACTCTTATTTTTATTATAATTGTTCAAATTCACAAGAGTTACAACAGCATCTTGTGCAGCATCATAATCTAAAGTATCATTTATTTTATCATAGTTTCCCGTGATCAGACTTCGTCTAATTCGTTCTCTCTCAATTTTCAGCTGTTCTTGCCATCTAGAATTAAGCCGACTAAGGTTTGGTGTTGCAAAAACGAATGGTGAAATTTGTTGGTCAATATGATCGCTGGATCTACTTGAAATATGTTGACCAAACACTAGAATAATTTTTATCAGTTTTCTGAATGATAGTGATCAAAAAAAGATAGTACTCACTGTTTGTATGATTGAAGCGTCCAACATTCTCAACGGCTTCAACAGTTTCTTCAATATATTTATTCTCTGTCGACTTTTTCGTCGCATCGACTGCAGCAGTTGTATATTCACCCAAATTGCCTAATAATTCAAGCAAGTCATCGCTGTCGTCCATATCGCATTCGCCATGAATATCCTGATTTGCTGGCAAAAGTACCGGATCGATTGAGTCAGTGTCGACTTGAGCTTCAGCAATAACTTGAAGTACTTAGGGTATACCAAAAGTTCTGATCACAGTTTTTAAAATTTAATAAAGCAATAAATATTGAATATTTTACTAAGGCAATATATAGTATAACGTCTCGTCTTTAATAATATATAGAGCAACTCTCTCTTAGACTTAGTTCTAACATCCTTTCAGACTAAATCTATAGTATTTATAGCCAAGAAAAGATCATGCCAACATAAAACCACAATACAGAAACGAAGAGACATTCGTTATTTTATTTTATTAAATGCTCAAAATAATCACCATTATTTTCGATACAAAGTTTCATTCTTTCTAACAGTTTATCGAAAGTCTTTTTAAACTCGTTTATTGGAATATTCTTCACTATGGTGGAAACCTCTTGAGCTAATGATTCTTCGTTTGTGTGATCCGTCAACTTGTTCTTGATATAATCATTTAGCCAAAAGTCACACGGTGCGAGATCTGGTGAATACGGTGGATGTGGAATGATTTCGATTCCTTCCTCCATTAAATAATCAATAACATCTGGATGAGTATGAGGAGGACCATTATCATGAAGCATTTTATATGTAGTACGTGATGACTTTTCCTTTTTTCTTATTTCATTGATAACAGGTATAAGACAATTATCAATATAGTAGTCATGATCGATTGTCTTGCCCTTATCTACTTTGTGTATGAGAAGAGAACCAGTGGATTTGAAGAAGAAGCAAAATAGTGTTCTAGGTTCAAATCTATTCCGACGAACAATGGTTCTTGGTGGTTCATTTTCGCCAACCCAAGTAGCATTGCTTGACTTTCGACCAATCTGCCTGTGATAAATCCATGTCTCATCACCAGTAATAACATCACATAAATGCCATGTTCCATTTCTAAATTTCTCTAAATTTTGACGACAAATTCTAAGTCGTTTTTGTTTTTGTTCGTCAGTAAGTTGATGAGCAACCCAACGTGATGTAACTTTTCTCATCTTTAGACGATCATGAATAATTCGTTCTATTGTACCACGTGATAGATCAGTCTCACCCATAATATCATCATAAGTTGAGTGTGGATCATCTTCGATAACTTGTCGAACGCGTTCAACATTTTCATCTGTAAGTACCGAAATCGGACGACCAGATCGAGGATCATCAGTGACATCGTCTCTTCCTTCACGAAAACGTTTCGCCCATCTTCTGACTGTTGGATATGATGGAGCATCAGGTCCCAATGCCTCTGTAAGTTCGTCAAAGATTGTTTTTGAATCTATTCCCAAAATAGCTCGAATTTTGATATAATATCGATTGAATTCATCAGTCATGTTTAATGTCTTCTTTTAAGATTGAAATCAAATTCTATTACGATTTTAAGTCGAGTACGGTACAAATGAACTAACAGCGAACGACCTCTCATTTATATATACTATCGAAATGTAATATTCTAGAACATGACGTCATAAAACGTGACGAGAGAGTGACCAATAGAAAGTTCCAGAATGTACCTGACCATTGAACAAGAATTAATAATATTTGCATTGTCTGTAAAATTATAGATTTAGTCTGAAAGGATGTTAGAACTAAGTCTAAGAGAGAGTTGCTCTATATATTATTAAAGACGAGACGTTATACTATATATCGCCTTAGTAAAATATTCAATATTTATTGCTTTATTAAATTTTAAAAACTGTGATCAGAACTTTTGGTATACCCTAAGTAAATGTTCATCGCGGTCCTTTTTACATTCATGCAAAAGTTGAATATTTTCTATAATCTGCCATGAATGCATGGAAACAAAATTTTTTCGAGATTTAAATGCATCTTCCCATGTCTCATTGGCATCACAAAGATCAGCTACAGTACGCCAGGGCACGAAGAGTGTGAGAAGAGCTCGACTGTATCGTTCTCGAGTGTCGTCACGATCTTGTCGAGGAATTTGAGGACCATAAAGAATAGGTACATGAGGCTGACTGTATTTCATCATTAAATATGTTGTAGCCTGTGGATGCTGGTTTTGAAAAAGATAACGTTTACTGGGTGGCCGACCTTTTTGATTAATATTTTCTTCCACCGATCCTGCATTCTTGGATAAATATTTAAGATCCGCTGTGTTCATTTTTTTCTTATATAATGTGCTCACAAAGTCATATAAACACTTGGTTTTGAGAATATCGGAGCGAAATTGGTAATCAATTCTTGTATTAACGAGTACGTAACTTTTGTCATTTTCAGCCGATTGAATTTGAAAATGCTCTTCGTCATTGTTTTCATTGTCAATAGCCTCATCATCATATACATTATCGTCGATCACATCTATATATGAAAAACAAAATGATTTCAAATTAATCATAGTATCCAGATTCAATCTATCTCCACTGTTTCTCTCTTTCATAGTTGGAGTAAACATGATATTTCAAAGAATTGTTTTATATTCTTATTAACGTTGTCACCATTTATTTCCTTTAGTTTCCTTCTCCTTTTGATACCGTATCTTAGATTTCATTTCCATATGATAAATACTCCTAAAATATGAGATCAGCTATCAAAATACTGACCGTGCGATAGAAGTTCTAATTTTCGTTCAGCACGTGTTTCATTCAATTGAGTTTGTAAAAATCGTTCCGTTTGAATTAAAAAGAGACCTTGGAACTTGTGTGTTGTATAATGATCATCCCAATTCATGAGATAAGAAACGACTGGCACTCCAGATAGCTCTTGTTGAGAAGCAAATGTATTGTAGCAGCGTAAAACAAGTTTACGCGACTTCTCGATTGCACTTTCGTTGCTTGTCTGTTGCAATGAATTCTGAAGTGATGTAATGCTTTTTTGAACAAGAGCAAATGTATCATGAAAAGAGAGGCTCATCTTTGTCACATAATCAGTAATATAATAAACAAGAGCCTTTGCATCTCTACCGCTCCAAATAAATTTAATATCCATATTGGATCGACAGGCGGCAATGAGGTATTCATTAAAATTATTGATCCATGGATCCGATCGTCGCATAGATATATGACCAGTAGCAGGATCAATTGTCGAAATCTGTACCAACTTGCGTGGCATACGCATTCGACAAATTTTCTTATCACGTTGTTTAGGATTAGAATACTTGTAATATGTGTCACTATGTCTGTGCTTGTTGCCTGTTTCCACAAGTTGTACCACATCTGCACGAAAGCGTGATGCAAAATTAGGTGACGATGGATTTGGAGTTGGTAAGCAAGCTGGAATTATTTTTGATTCATTATATGAGGCATTAATAACTAAAATATTAAATAATATAATACGTCAGGTTTTTCTATGATAATAACTATACTTTACCAGATGTTGATTGATTACGCGTTGGAGTTTGTAAAAATTTATTTGACGACGGAGAAACATGAAAAATCGATGGAGCAATTTGTTCCTTCAACGGTGTTGATTGAACACTACTGGATTCACATATATTTTGTTTTAAACCTGTCAGATCCATAGTA